TACTCGTATTCAAATTGCATCTTGAGTGGCATCAGTTCCTTAAATGTAATCTATGATCTCCAAGAAATCTTTAGGTGCTGCATCAGATCATTATCATTCCTTCATTCTAATCTCCCAGCTTGTTGCACCATCTGCATTAATGATGAGCAGATCTCCATGGTATTTGGTGGGGCTTAAAGCAATATTCGAAGCTTTTAGTCTTGAATACTCATATAGAGTAGGTGGGACCACTATTATTTGATCCTCTCCCAACGGAAATGATGTAGTAGATGATTTAGAGGATTCCTCTTCTTAAAGATCGAAATTGCGATCTTTGTCAATTTTCTTCTCCCAACTCCAGATCATCACGAGATGATTGTTGCTTGAAGTGTCCTACTCTCCAGAGCTAGATGCTCCTTCATTCAATTTAAATAAGGGTTAACTCAATCCTCCTTTGTTGATGATCTCCTTCGCGATCTTTTGGTTTTCTGTTTCTCTTCGAGTGCACAGTGGACTCATGAACAAATCCTATAAATCAAACTAAATCTAAAGATAACAAAGAGACATAAGATGGTTAGTTACTTTCATATACTATTAAAAATCTCCAACAACTGTACCAAAATCTTGATGTGCAATATGCATACACGCAATATGTAGTAGTATTGCCAAGTGATAGAATCCTAGAAATGTCTAGAGATGTATTCCACAAGGTCTTCTAATAGCAAATACTCTCAAACTAATCACTTATGCTCAAACTAAGACACAAAAGAAGATAAAATTGATGGGTTGAGGTTCCCTAAGTTCAGTTGGTTTTGCAGATAGGCATGGATAAACACAACAAGAAAGTAATTGATAGGCATAAAAAGACAAGATAAGTAAAAGATGCTTCGTTCCTTCGCCCTTCGGTCTCACATATTTCTAAACCTATCGGTCGAGCTGCTTCCTTCGACTAAAGCATTCCTAATCTTGCTTTCACTTCATGCAAAATGAACTACAACTAGCTAATGCATGCTTTTGCTTTATGTCATTAATTAATCAACCACACAAAGAAGTAAGGATACCATATTGTCATTTAAGGCCTCTATGAGCTCATAACAATGTTTTATAGCATCGATGATCGAGTACGTCAAGCATCAAACTCATACAAGCATGAAAGTTTGATCGTTCAATTCATAGATGCATAAGCCAATAGCATATCATATAAGAGTAGTTTTCGAACAACCTATAATGATATTATAAACAACACTATAGTAGTACACAATAGATGATATATTATAAACACATTGATCAAATAGTTATGAAATTCATAAATAATATACTAAAATATACTAAAGATGCATCGATAAAAAGGGAAATGTATAAATATGATAAGCGCATAAACACAATAATTTGAGTGTTATTAACCCTCTGCTTTATTATTCCCAAATAGCGATGGCCCATAACATACCAGAATGGCCAATATATCCATGCATGAGCGAGCGAGTCTATGTTTCCCACAATCGCCCTACCGGCTATCACTACCTGCCGACTTCCGCCACCATTAACCACCACCACTATCCATCTACGGTCATAGGCGGAGCCAAGCCTATTGGGCATTGTTCCGGGAAAGGTGTAAATTTTAGGTGGAACAAAAATACTCCGTATATGTTTATACAAAGGATGGAACAGAACACCCACTACAACGTATTTTGTCGCTATATCACAACTAATTACTTGATCATAAATTGACATTAAATTAATTTATTATACTACAAATGAAATCTCAATTGGAAAAAAAATCTCTTTTCTTCATATCCCTATTTGATTATTTGCCCAACAATCTTGAAGCAATCCTGGGGCAACGCCGATTCTACTAGTTTTGACGGCAAGTGTAGATAAAATATTTTCAGCTTTGAGCTATATCAACAACGAACTTCAAAGTCGAATTCACGACCAGTTTGCTAATGGTTGTTTAGTGAGATCCATTGAAAAGAACTTACTTAAGAATGTAAACAATGAATGTATTTTGTGTTTCCTTCGTAATATGAAAACTCATCATGATTGTTTATGAAAATACCGATTGTAGTAGTCGTTATTTTTTATATGTGTAAATAAATTATTTGGATATTATTAATTAATTATATGTATTAAATATTTATATATTTATAATACGAAAAGAGGATCCTGCCTCCGCCACTGTCTCCGGTCCCCGGCCTCATCATTCAAAAGACATACTAGTTTAACGAGAGTCATTGAGGCCAAGGGTGGAGCTAGGTGGAGCCTCGCCCCCCCCCCCCCCCCCCCCCCCCCCCCAGAATTTTGAAACTACGTACAAAATCTCTTCGGATTGTGAAAAAATTACGTATAAAATAGATGTTAGAATATTAATTGTGTGTGCAATAATGTGACAATAAACTAAGGGGTGGACAAGTGGTAGAAGAGTTGATCTTTTACATTGGGTGCATGGGTTCAAATCTTGCTTATAGCGAATTAGTGTCCATTTTTTCCATTTTCAAGTTGTGAACATTCTCACCTAAACTACAGCAAATTAAGTGTTATTTTGCTCTTTCCATATTGAAATAAGCCAATAAATTGTTTGAAAATGATAAAAATGAGTTACATATTGAAATGCATGATTAATATTTTTTCGTAATTTAATAATTTGTTTTGACCATACCACATAGTAAATAATTATCTCAATTCTTGTTTTGTTATGATAATAAAAATTCTATAAACTTTTTTTGTCATCTACACATAATATAATACACCGAAGGGAAAAACGGGAGCCCCATTTCAAATTTCCTGCAACGAGAGTGAAAGTAGGAAGGACATTTTGGTCTTCACAATTACTTTTTTTTTATTCATTAAAAGGTATGTACTGGGATTCGAACCATGACCATTTTAAAGAAAGGCAAAGATCATAACCAATCACACTAACTACATTTGTTGTATCCTTTTAAATTAAAAACATATAATAGCAGGGTGGAAAAAACTCTTCCCCCATTTCAAATTCCCTGTTCCATGAGCGTTTGTAGGAAGGGTAAAATAGGGAGTGTCAATTTTTTCTCTTTCCTCTATGGAACGGGCCAACTTACCGTACACATCCGGATTTAAACGAGTCAAGGAGTGTCAATTTTTTTCTTTATACCCTTTTATTTATCCGTGGTGATAAAATATATATGAAAAGGCAAAAATAATACTCCGTTTTATTGTTAAAAATAAAAAATTTAACAATAGACTAATGCATGGTATCTAATGGGCTAACCGCTAACCATAAAATAAAAGAGTTGAATGGGCCTGACCTACATGGGATTTGGTCATCAAGTAAAACAAATGAACATCATGGGTTTGCCATTCTAAAACAAGCTATTTTCTCTGGCATAATATATATTATGCTATTATTTTATATCTTAGTGGCTAAAATATAATGTATTTTAAAGTTATTCAATGGTTCAACCTCGACCAACCCAATTAGTCCAATTTTTATCATTTCAAATATATATTTTATAATTATTTGACATCATAATGATCAAATTATAGTGTATTTTATAGGGAATCGTTTGGTATTTGTTAGTAAAAAACTAAACATAAAAATCTATTTGGTTATTTTAAACATTAAAACGATCCTCAACATTTTCAGTTCCTTTTGAATTTATATGGTTTTATTCCCGAATAAGTGATGTGCAAATGGCGAATTGTAGTCGTCTTTTTTCTTTCACTATTTTTTTTATTTTCAAATAGAAAGTTTAAAAGTAAAGAATAATTAGAATTTGGCATGGGTCAGTCAAACAGGTTGAATTTCAAGTTTTGGCCCATTTGTTTTATGCATTGCAAATTTATTAGCATGTTGATGGAAATGGCTTGGAAAAAAGACATATAAGTTGTATCTTTGCAGAAATGTCCTCAAATGTTTGAATGCTTTGTGAATCAGGTTCTGTGACTTTTGTGATGGTGTATGTGCTTGACGATTGCTCGATGTTGTAACTACTTAATTTAAGAGTAAATCTTTTGACTTTCCCTATGAGTTGTGATACCAATTCTGGTGGTTGCAGCATGTTGTCGTTGTTGGCCTGTAAAAGTTGTTCCGCCGTGATGCTAAATACCTTTCTTTCTTTTTTAACAAATTGTGTAGTAGTGCTATGAAACAGACCACCCATGAACGCTACGCTTATTATGTTCTGTTCTTACTTCCGGTGGTGAGAAATTGTGAATTGAGAATCATATTCGCCTACCGCACTGTGTCTGGTTGGTGGCTGCTTACTGTTCTCTCTAGAGTTATGAAACAGACTACCCATGAACTTTACCCTTAAGAGTCCACAACTTTGCGAAAAACCAAATATAGGCAATCAAAGGTGGTGGATGTGTGATGATTTTTTATGGCTTAATTGTTTGTGAATTAGATATATGATCTTTGTATGATTAGAGGGGATGTTTGCTTAATAGAATAATCCATTTTAATTCATGTTTATTTTTAACATGAACTTTAGTAACTCAAAACCTTTGAGACACATATCACCTACTGCATTGTATCATTTTGCCTGGGTGCTTGCTGTGTTGTCAAACTTCTTTGTTGCTGATGCATTTACACTAACAGGGGAGTTAAGAACCCATGAATGTTTCCGTTTGACACAAACAAGTGGACTTACTTCTAAATCATGCACTAAAGATGATTGGAGGAAACATCTCTGTTGCAGTTGATACACTGGAGACCATAACAAAAGCAACGTATAACATCAAAACCAACCATCTGAACTATTAGCATTGTTGCTTTACTCTTTTTTCGTGGTTGAGTCTCCTTCAAAAAATTTAGTTTGATTTTAGAAAATTTTGCTTCTGCAATCCTGTCTTGCCACCAACGCGTTCAGTAGATGGAGATGGCAGAGGCGAAGGCTATTTTGTGTTATTGTTGCTGGTTTAGGGATCGGTTTGTGAAGAAGAGGGAGAAGAGAGGGGGAAAGGGAAATGCATGAGAGGGGGATAACTCTTTTCTCCGACAAAAATGGAGTGAAGAAAGGAATTATGATCAGTAAGGATATGGTTATCTTACATAACTGTGTCTATTCTGTTTGAATTGAGCTTGGGAGGTAGTGATAAGGACGAGCTGCAACCAATTCATAGTGATAAGAGTGCTATGAACTGTGATCATGTCTTATTTCAAGTTAGAAGGTAGTTTCAGTATAAGGATTATTTAATTTGACAAGTTGTTTTGTCCATGATTCTTGGTAGTTTCAGTGCCATTCTAGCCATTGTTTAGTCTGTAATTTTTGAGAATTGATGTGCGAGTAATGACTTTCACTTAGCTTCAACTATTATGTGTGTATTTATTGGCATGTGATAGAATTCTCTTTTCCTTTTCTTTGAATTCAGTTTCATACTCTAATTGTATCGTTTGTACATAGGCAAATCATGCTCGAGATGACAACTCGCTGATATGGCTGGTGCAAGGAATGAAGCCATCATTAAAATTCAGACCGACAACGGGGAGGGATGCCCAGGACTAATTCAATGATGATTGATGATGGTATGATAAAAACTGCAGTCTGCATCAGCACCAATTTCTAGGCCTAAGTAAAGTTATTCAACCCAGAACTCTGCTTAGCGCTAAAAATTGCCCTCACCCAACCTTTATCCTGTTTGACCCACTTCTGAAGAGTCAAGATATATTACTAATTCTCTCCGTTCGTATTTTCTTATTGGCTCTTTCTGACCCTTTAGGTTGGGGCGGGTCGGGAAGAATCGGATTAGTGGGCCGGTCCTAATCAAGTGGAATCTCAATCCCTTCACTCTCACCTGCTTTCTCTCCCATTCCACAAGTGGGTAACATACAGTAATCCGGCCAACGGGCCGGGTAATAAGCTAGTGTTAAACTAAACAACTTCGCCCCCGAGATTCAAATCCTAGCCCCTGATTGAGGCTTGCGTAACTGCATGTAGGCAGGTGAGCACTGGGGTTGTGTTAATGTTTGGCTTTTCCTTTTCTTTGCTTATGTGTGGCTTCAATATATGTATATATATAAGCTTAGTTTGCCCCTGCTGTAGCTTTTGCAGAAGCAGTTTTGTCTGGAGTTTTTGGATAAGTACTTTAAAAAAAAAAATAGTTGAGTGTTTGGTTGTAAAACTATTAGAAGTGGTTTTTAATATGAGAGGTTGTGTTAAATGACTATAAAGGACTTATAATATAAAATATGAATAAAAATTCTGAACAAAAAAAAAATAGTCAAAATGGATCTTGTTAGATTTCTTTTATATTAAATAATATGATTTTATAATTATTTTATTTTTAAAATGATATAAATGAGGGAAAATTATATTTTATGAAATAAAATTAAAATATGGTAAGGATAATCTTGTATTTTCAAAACATCTTTTCACAGAAGCTCCAAATCGGAGCTTCTGCTTTTATGTTATACAAAAGCGTTTTTCGGCTTTTCAAAAACCGAGCTTTTAGAGTTGTTTGGCCGTGTTTCGGCTTTTGAAACCAAAAAGCACTTCTAAAATACGGGCCAAACATAGGATAGTGTTGCTAGAGGAGAAGGGCGATGGCAGGATAGATTCGGAGGGAAAGGGTGGTCTCTGAGGCCGGCGGCGGTCCTCGCTGGGTGTGAAGTGATTTTACATGTTTGGTTCGTGACTTTTATTTTGTTTGTTTTGGAGAGTTGACATGTTTAACCATCCAGTATCCAAATTCACGCCAAAGCAACAATTATGTCAATTAGGCTCTTTTATAACAGTGTGTGTGTCCACCCATTGTCGTGACTAGGTCAATAAGTCAGTGAGAAATGGTTTCCAACTCTCCACAAGTGAATGTTATGAACATCAAGAAAGGTGCCTGAAGGAACAAAAGAGAAGTTGACATTGACAAAGCCGAAAATGCACCAAGGCAAAGCTCTGTAGTCCATAGCAGTATGTACAGTTGCACCAAATAGAAGCTTCAACGAAAAAAGAAATTATTTCTTATGATACCAATCTGGCTTTTCCAGATCTAGTTGTGGCCTCTCTTGAGCGACGAGAAAAAGCCACCAGATGTTCGATCCTTTCGGCGACCTTCCTTCCCGTCTCCAACCTGTTTCCATTCCAACAGTTACGTAGTTGGTTTGTCATTATTGCAAGTTTGAACCAGACTCAAAAGACCCTAACAGGACTATTTACCACTTACCTCTTTGGCGATTTTCTGAAGGATATCCTTGATTTCACAGAAGTTGGGCCTTTGAGTTGGGTCTTGTTTCCAGCATTTCTCAAGAAGCTCCGCCAGTCTTGGGTGAGTCTGTTTTGGAATAGTAGGTCGCAACCCCTACACCAAGCAAGGTTTATAGTAGTCAGCACCGAAGAAAGGCCTGGAAAGTTCAACACATGCATGTAGAGTATGTACGTTTAATTGTTGTTAAATGTTACCTTTTGCACCACGCCCACAGCTGCTTGTAATGGGGTTAGGTATGAGTACGGAAGCTGGAAGTAAGATTAGTAAAACCCGGTTCAGCCAACAGAATCAGCATTATTAAGAACTCCAGTCGGAAGTTTACCTCTCCGGTTAGAAGCTCCCACAACACTATTCCGAAACTGAAAACGTCTGCCTTGTGATCGTATGGCTTGTGTTCAATCACCTTCACCCAGTTAAATATATCTGTAAGTAAGGGCATGCCAAACTCAAACAGCCAACTCTGACAGCAAAAGAGTTTTATTTATCTCAAGAAAAGTACATGCCTCGGGAGCCATCCACCGGTACGTCCCAGTTTCAGCAGTCATTACTCCAGATTGAGTCTGTACTCTGGCTACTCCAAAATCAGCAACCTTAACTACCTACAGCAAGAATCGATAAAGAAACTGAATGATGAATCTAAATCAACAAATGCAAAAGAAAAGTTACGCCCCTATGCTGGCTGGTCAAGGAGACAATTTGAGAGACAATATACTGGAGATATGGCCTTACTTCATTTTCATCCATCAGTAGATTGGCCGTCTTCAAATCCCGGTGGATTATGCTATTCTGGTGGAGATAATTCATTCCCTTTGACACATCTATTGCAACTTTGATTAAGGATGGAAGTTTGAAGACACCATTCTGCTTATGCAGAAAATCATAGATACTACCTCTTGCCATGAATTCTGACAAGTGAAAGCACAAGGACCAAACCCATTTATCAGTGAACATAAAGTTTCAGCCCAAGGAATGAATTCCTCGAAGACCAGTTGCGGCTACTAAGAACAGAATGGCTGACTTTGTATGAAGGTAGTGACAAAAATTTTATATTTCGCATTGCTTAAAGTCCATGAATATTACTAGTACAAATGAGTAAATATAGAGATCAACAAGGCTACCTGTGACTATACACAAGTTTGGAGGCTGAGTGCACGCTCCTATGAACTGCACAACGTTCTTATGTCGAACTTTCCTGCAAATTAATTGACGTCATTGAAATGTTATGTAAAGAGAACTGAGGAAATAGGAGCATTCATTAAGAGAAGCATTATGTATGATGTGGCATGTTGAGAGAAGACAGTGCTCACTAGTTACATCCAATCTAAGACACCATTATACAGGGCCACAAACAGTGAATGCATGCATTTCTCTTTATGTTTTATTTCCCTCATTAAAACCCAGGCAGAGTATTGAATTTATCAGCTATAGATATCGGTGGAGAACATTAGCCCCACCAAAAAAAAGTCATGCAAACTTAGCCATTCACCAACCTCATTATATAAACTTCTTGAGAAAACTCTCTAAGCATTTCAGCACTGACACGCTCTGGCTTTAGGACTTTGACAGCCACTTCCTGACTGCAATACGTGCCTTTGTATCTGAAGAATTTTGAAACCAATTATTTGATAGGCCACTTGAAAAGCATCTACGTGTCACTTCACACGCTGAAACTTACAGATCGCCATAAGATCCAGATGCGACTTTGTTTTCAACTTTTAGTTGACTGGCATCAATTTCCCAGACGTCAATGCCATCACTTGGTATTTCTATGCAACCAGGAAGTGGTACAATCCTCGTGTTATTAACAATGCTGATGGTGGGAATAGAAGGCTGTTTTGAGCCCTGCTGTTCCTGCGTGGAAATTTTGAAAATAAAAATCAGAAACATGCCAGAGATAGCTTGAGGCGATGCACCACATGGAAATTGAACACCTGCTACTCTAATATGGTTATTAGAGCAACAAATATACAATCTATGACAGGAATAGTTCAAAGTCATAACTGATATCAGCAACTGGATTAACTCCTCTAATCAATTAGGATAAGGTCAACTGTCCTGTTGAAAACTCCACATCAGGATGAACACAAAATTTACATAGTATAAATAATTACTCCATTAATAAGGTTTAGGAGTTATTGTCAATCTAAGGGTATCCCAGGCAAGAAAATATAGGAGAAGAGAAAGGTGACTGTAAAATGTCCATGAGATTGCATGTTTCTCATTTCCAGCTCAAGGTTCAAGAAAAGAAACTAATAGCTGTAGAAAAGGAAAGGTGAAGGTTCCTTTGGATAGTGAAGTGACTGGAGTCCCTAAGAAGAAACCCAGCATGTATCTGAATTCTGCTATTCAAAAGTTTTGGAAATTATGAAGCTTAGTGAGGACCATCATGTGAACCAGTGTCATTATCATGAAATGCCTATGAAGCAGTACGTACATCAATATTGAATAGGCTGTGACCTCTACCACACAATAACAATAGTATTAAAACTAGATTTATCGCTTGGTTCCCCTTGTACTTCTTATTAACTCTCACTCCTTTGAAAAGATTTTCACATCTGTAAGAAGTTAAAATCCTTGCCAAGAAAGAAGGACCGAGAAATAATTATATTGATGCATATCAAAGGAATCGGATGAATAAAGGATTTGTTGAACTCAAAAGAACCTTTCGACAATGCAGGGAGAAGCAGGTTGAGTAACTGTTTCATGATCCATAGAAAACCCAGTAATGTACCACTGTAGTGAGTGAGATATGCATGTAGGAAAAGACTGGCAGTCTGTCTGTCTTTATTTAATTTTCTTTTAGTGAAATATGATAGCTATATGTCAACACTTGATGCTTTCAGTATCAGTCACGATGAAGTGAAAAGAGCATAGCATCATCGTGCTCCAAGATAAAACTGGCTAAAGATATTAAAAAATTGCTTCAGAACATAACAAAATATAAGCGCAATTTACCTTAGTCTTCAGAATTTCCTTCTCCAGAGCACTTCTAAGCTCCTCGGTCTCCTGAAGTTAACAAGAAAAAGAAAGGATTGTAGCTGTGCTATAATTTGTAGGTGCTTGTCAGGCAAAACTGACAGCAACTAGCAAGCAAATGACGTACCTCATGAGGCCAACCATCCACGACAAAGACATCAAGGGAAAACCCATCAACAGTAGAAAAGGCATGGGCCTCTTGGATATTTAACCCAACTTCAGCAAGCAGGAAGGTCAACTGGAACATTATAAATCAGTATATATTACTAGCCCCAACATTATGGGGAAAAATGAGAGTGTGGACTGAGATATATAAAGGAGAAGGAGAGGGAAACCTGACTAAGGAGTTTAGGCCTGTCTACAGTCGAAAAGGTGATCTCATGCATGGGCCTGTAGGATTGCAATGAGTTGTGAAGGTACGATGAAACTCAAAAAGAAACATGACACTAACAACACAATAACAATGCCAGATCTTCTAGCCAGTTCATTGTATTACCACTATGAACATACAACATTCTCAAATTTGAAGTTGATGAAGTGCAACTTGCTGACAGCAATAAATGAAGGCAGGAGCCTAAGTACTTGAAAGTCCATACCTGACATGGTTTGATGTTGAATTTACAGCGCTATCACCATCGTCAACATGATATCTATGCGTGAGCGCTTCAAGATTTGATGACGAACCAAATGTTGGAGGAGCATGGGTGCTGTCCAGAGGAAAAAAGAAATGGGGAAAAAGAAAGCCAACCAATCAGATGAGTGCCAAAGTTGAAAGTTCTACAACTAGCAGGGATAATCAAAAGTGGAACACAGTAAGTACACTAGCAACAAAAAGGAGTGAACATACGCTTGTCTGCTTGATAAATAAGAACTTTGAGCATCTTCTCTCAGTGAAGAATCTAAATGAATGGAATCAAGAGCTTTTCCATTTGAGACAGGGAACACCTAAAGAACCAAGAAGAAACAAGCTATATCTATCAAGAACCAATGGCGCAAACAACCCAAATCCGGTGAGCCTGAGCACCTCCAAGCACTAAGTGCTACAGGATATCTGATATACTAGCCAAGTGAAAAGAAGAAGATAAAAGATGGATCGGAAGTGCTCACCTGCACCAAACGAACTTCAAATGCAGGTCGATTAGCAGGATCTTCTGCCAATTGTAGCAGTCTCTTGTGAGTAAGCACGTCCTCCGCCCTCTCGACGTTAACGTCTAGAGCATATCTGTCGTAGCATAGATAAACAAACGATAAAATAACATAGAAGATTTTGAACCCGGATCAAGTATCAATTGCAGCTGATTCAGCCATGGATTTCAAAATCTAAGGGTGAATATCCAGTGGCAAGGGCAAGAAAATATGACTTTCTAAATTGAAATTCGCGGCTACCCATTGTTGGACAGCACAATCCGATCCCCCAGGTTCACATCACTCGCATAGATGAGGAAACGAAGACTAGTCAAGGCAACATGCAAGAGAAATGGAGAAGCAACAAACAGCGCGAAAAGGGAAAACTAGGAATCTCGTAAAGTAGCAAATAATAATCCAGGAGATTCAAGTAGAGCACAACTCTGTACAGCGTTTTCTAATTCCAAGCAATCAAACAGGATTGTGGAGGGAGAGAGAGAAGGGAGCGAAGCGAGAGTACCGTGCAGGCAAGCGATTGAAATGAAGCCAGAGCTGATCGTCAAAGCCAGGAAGATTGGCGTCTTCGTGAGCGGAATCCTGAATTCTGCGTAGAACCTCGTTGTAGACCTCCAGCTTCTGCCTGTGATGGCGAGGATTGATGTGCGAGAAAGAGTCGGCCGCTCGGCTGCCGCAGCTCTCCACGTCCTCCTCAATTGCCATATTGTTGTTGTTGCTATATTATAAAATAATAACAATAACAGTAAACCGCCGCCGCCGCCGCCGCTGCTTATCTCCGACGAACCAGAGATTCAGGGGAATAGAAAAAAGAGGTTCACGGCCGGCCGAACACTGGTTGAGTAGAAGGGCAGGGATGGATTATGTAGAGTACGAATCAGAATGAAAATTCAATTCAGGATTGAAAGTGGGAACCAGGGAAAAGTGGAGGAAAGTTGGAGCGGACAAAAGCTCCAATTAGCCGAGCGCTAAAAAAGCCATTGCGAGAGAGAGAGAGAGATGAAGAGAATCGTGGCGATGCTTTTGGGAGTGTTTGTTGTACTTTGGAGTATTTGCTTTTCTCCCTTTTTTGTTTTATATATTTAATTTTCTATCTTTATTTTTGGTGTCTACTGTTTACGGGGGAAGTGGCGCTCGCTCTCTGAAGCAGAGCGGGGGAGGCCAGGCGAGAGCAACGGAGAAGCATTTGGGCGGATCGTCGTTGTTGGCTTCGCTTTGTTGCTGCTGTTAATATAGCGATTTTATTTTATTTTTGAACTGCAAGATGAAACGGATTATTATTCGTTTGTTCGTGCTGGAGTTTGGATGGCCACCCTACGTCATGAGGCGGGGTCCATGATGAGGCCACTAGGTAACTCGTGACAATCAGCTATCTATATATGTTATATACCAACGATTAAAATATAGTACCGAGCGGTTCTACTAGAAAAAATTTATATTGTGGCTAAATCAGTAGGTAGTATTTAACAGTATGAAACGGTCAAACAATGATTTTGTCATAAAATACTTTACCGCTGATTTTTCAGGTACAACTTCCGGTACGGTATTTCAATCCTTGATATATACTAGCACTAGGCTTGACCTATTGGTCGAGAGAGGTTAGACCGGGAATATGTTATATAATAATGGATATAATAGATTCTCGTAAATGGATGCAACATCTATCTATGCATAATATGTTTAAAATAGGATTATAGGTATTATATGTCCCTCTACTATGTAGTTATATCAAACATCCCCCTTTACTATTTTTTACATCAAACATGCCCTTGTACTTTGGAAAAATGATCAAACATGCCATTTTGTTAAAATTTTCATTAAAAAAAATCGTCAACCATGGTTGAACCGAGATGTACACGACCCGACATCGGCAAATGAGAGGAAAAATGTCATTTTTGTCCCCCATTTTATTTTTCTAGGTCTTGTTAAAGTGAAATTATTAGAGGTATTTGGCTCTACAAAAGAACCCAAAAAATTCTAAAGTGAAATTACCAGAGATATTTTAGACATCTGTGTCGCCCAAACCAAGGTACCACCGTGGTTGACTGTTTTTGGATGAAAATATTAACAGAAGGGCATGTTTGATCATTTTTCTAAAGTATAGGGGCATGTTTGATGTAAAAAATTGTAGAGGGGCATGTTTGATAAAACGACATAGTAGAGAGGCATATTATACTTATAACCCTTTAAAATATGATAAAAAGAAGAGGAATATGATCTAAAATCTAAATATAACTAATTATTCAATGAAAATGAATACATATAACTAGTTGTCTTTCAAGTAAATCATATATATTTGAATATTATAGGGGCTTCCAATAATACATATTTAATCAACTTAATGTGTTCTCCTCTTCGTTTTGTGCTTCTTTCTACCACCTAGAGTCACTAGGAAGGAAAGTATTATGGGCCAAGGGATATCATTTACTACTATGTGTAAATCATACAAATAAGAAGAAAATACTATATGATCCATCATTTTCTTGCAGTATTATTATATTGGGTTAATATGTTAATCTGATCAAACTTTCAATAAACATACTACTTTGGCTTGTATTTTTCGAAACTCTCATTCTGGCTTAAACTATGCCCCATCAATATTATTTTGGTTGGTCGCGTTGGTTGACCGTTAAGTTGGACGATCAACGTCTTAAGTCAGTGTCATTTCAAACAAAATACAAAATTATAATTTAAATCAATCAACCTTTTTTCTAATTTCATTTCTTCACTTATTAAACCGTAAAAGGGAAAAGAATGGGTAGGTCCTACTCCCCTGAATCAACCAAACACAAACCCTAACTCCAGTTCCCAACCCCATCTTCCCCCAGTGATTATCCTTTCTCACCATCTCTAACGGGCATGCAGTAGCGGTCGGTCGTTTAAAACCGTCATCGATATCTAAATCAAATTCGGTCGTTGTCGACCATATCCTTTCCGGCCACTTCCTTCCTTCTCTCTCGATTAGTAGAGGTAATCAACGGTGACCAGAATATAGTGTAAATTTCACGTTAATTTGATTGCTTTTACTTCATATTTAAAGCCACCTATCATCGTGGATTAACAAAAGCCAACAAATCAAAAACGGAAAAAAGAATTATCAAAGAAGAAAGATAATAAAGGTAGCCAAGTGGCATCCTTACTCTTCAATGTGTACATCATGCACATATTTATAGATTTATTGCACGCCTCGTTATAGTATTTCTTTAATTGTATATATATATATACATATATATGGTGCCTTCTACGGTACCCCGGGTGAAATCCGGGGTACCACATCCTTGAGTATGCAAACGCTATCTAGACTTTGAATTAGCAGGATTTTTGGGCATGATACTATACCCTAACCCTTAATTAGTGAATCCTAGGTCATAGTTATATAAATCATAAACTATAAACCCTAAGATGGTGCATTGATTTTTTTGCCTATATTTGGACGAATCATAACCGTCGATTATTTTTTCTAATTAAATTGATCTTGGGGTATAAGCTTTAGAGAATTAAGACCTAGATTTTGATATTTAAGGGTTAGAGTATAGTATTATGCCCGAAAGATTAGTCAATTCAAGGTCTGGATAGCGTTTTCATACTCAAGATATGCGGTACCCCGGATTTCACCCTGGGTACAGTAGAACTCGCATATATATATATATAGCCGACCTAGGGCCGAGCAGCCCCTCAATTAAACCCCAAAACCCCCGCCCTAGTAATTAAACCCCGCCGCCCTCTTCAATTCTTTCCCCAGAGATCGCCGTTGTCCCCAGCCCCGCGCGTGCGAGAGGAGAAGAAGAAGGAGTTGATTCCGGCTCCCGATCTCGATCCCGATCCCGGTCCCGATTTCCCAACTCGTCACTTTCGCGTTGCTAGGTAAGGATCACGAACCCCATCGCGGTTTCTAAGCTCGATTCATCGTTAGACAAATTCGAAGCTCGGTTTTTATTAGCGGTGACGTTGATGGTTCGATCAACGAGGAGATCAACGTCCCGGGTCATCCAACCTAGGCCTAGGCACGTTCTAGAGGTAAGGGAACTCGATCGCTTTGAGTTAGATCGATCGATTTGGTGATTTTTCGTGAATGTGCAATTATGAGGTTTTAGCAACAGACGTTCAGGCTTTTAGTGACAGATTTTGATTGGTCACTAAAGCTGCTGGAAATTTCCAGAAACGTATTTTTAGATGTTTTAAATTGTTTCGAGCCTTTCTGAAGGTTGTTTTCTAAATTTAACAATTTTATAAATTGAACGACGTGTAGGAGATGATTTTAATTTAAATTGGGGATTATTGGAGATGCATTTCTATTTTTAGAAATTGTTCTAATATTCGTTTTAATTAAATAAAAATCTTTCCGAGGGGATTTTAAGGGTTTGATAATTTTTTAGGGTATAGGTTCTCATGATGGACTTGGGAAAATTATTATCCAATTTTTGAAGAAGGTTCTAATTAGGTGGAAAATTCGTTAAAGACAAAAATAATTAAGAAAAATGGTCGTCTTTGAAGGGATTAATCCTAGAAAATTTAAGTGGGGGTTAAAGGACCCTTGGAATGAGGTTCAAGGACTGGAGTTTGAGGAGAGGATGTTCTAGTGATTCAAATGAGGTTTTAAATCAAGAAAGGACGGCTAAGAAATGAATTCTTATTAATAGGTTTCCCCAAGATAATCCGGCTAAGGAGGGGTTTCTTCGAGGAAAGAATTGAGAATTCATCTTTTCGAGGTGAGTGTAAAGGGGGTAAAATCTCCGTCGAGGTCTTTTAGTTTATGTCTTTTAATTCAGTTATGTTGGTTATTTTCTAGTATGCGCGATATGTGTGTGAGGCATCCCACCGCCTGTAATGGTCGAGGCACACGGTGTGCTATGTATGAATGTATGTGATGTTGTATGGATTGATGGTATGAGGAACCCCCGGACGGTTGGGTCACTACTTGACGGCGAGACGTGACGCAGTAGTTGACGTGCATGGATTGGACGGCGAGACGTAACGCAGTGCCGTTGCCGAGTTTGGGTATGCAACCGGACGGCGAGACGTAACGCGGTTGGCATACTAGGGGCAGGACACCGGACGGCGAGACGTAACGCGAGAACGGCTTTCATGAGTTAATGTTGAAATGAGTTGATAAGAATGGTTATTTAAGAGTAGAAAGCGAGAACGGCTTTCATGCTAGGAAGGCATTCCCCTAATAACGTGTTAGTAAGGAGTTGACCTAGGGCAAAGACTTTAGGGATTAACGACGAGACTGACCCCTTCTCACTCACTAGGTCCATAGAGGGGAAGAGGACGCAACCATCAAGAGGAGATTACCCGGGGAGAGCAGCCGCGGCTAACCTGAAGATGTCAGGTGGATCTGGGTAACGAGATGGGACCTCCCATTATATTTGTCTCTAGTTTCATGTCTTAATGAGTATACTGGGAAACTCAAGGATTGTGTTTTATGTTTTGTTGCTCTGGATTGAGGTCGCCCAAGTGTTTAGGGCATTTCACTTGAAAATCTTAAGCATTGTGGTTGTTGATTTTTGGTTTTGACTTGTAAACCGTTTTGGGTTGCTCCGGAGTAACCGGTTTGTGGTTTGAGTTGTGGTTTGGTTTTCAAAAAGGATCGGGTCGTGTCAACGCCCTAACCCCTCCTTTGAAGCCATCTCCGAAGGCAGATTCGACAACCTAACCCACACTGGAACAACGGAGTTATCAATTGCAAGAGGTTGCATACCTGGTTCACATTTACACAGAAAGAGCATATTCTCTCGATGGTGCCAAGGTCCCCCTCCGAAAACCCAGCGACACACCTCCGCAGTCGAAAATTGAAACAGAACCAACCTATCCCCAAGCCATGAAACCCTTATCGCTCCATCATGCCCCCAAATCCAATTCGCCCAAAAGTGAATAGAAGATAGCAACTCCGGAAGGTTGATGAATTTCCCAACGAGACAGTTGACCCAACACTTAGATCCTTCATCGATGACCGACGCAGGAATCCACAAGGAGCCATTAACAAACTCCAACTCGTAGTAATCCAGCTTAAAATAAGGAGTGATTGAGAAAAGAGAAGCCCAGGTGCGCCCGTCACCAACGGCACCTAAAGAGGCTCCACTGTGACAGTCGCCATCAGCTAAAAGAGGAAGAAAAACGCCAATTTAGAGAGAAGGGAAGAGAGAGAAGGGCCCTAGTTTAACTGTATCTTCTCCGGGGAATCTACCCTTGGATGATACGAGTTTTCCTTCTCTGAGTCGGCCTAGTTCGAAGCGAGTTGTTTCCCCTCCTCCCCCTGCTCCTGCAAAAGGTAGGGGTAGAGGGAAGAAACGAGGTAAATGAAGGTCATGTGTTGGAATATCAGCGGATTTAATGCCCCTAAGAA